AAAATTTTTTGCAAGTGTTTTAATAAGATTCTAATGCCTAAAAGAGGAGTATTACAAGATTTGTTTATTTATTTATTTATTTATTTATTTTTCTCATATATTCTGAATAAAGTGATTAATGCAATAATTATTTTTGCGCTTCAGTTTCAAAGAAATGGAAATCGATTATATAAATTCTTCATTAACCAAGTCATTTAAATTTGGAGATTCATTTTATGTCAAAATTATGCTTCATAAAATGATTAAATATATCTCATGTCAATATAACTAAGGCAAAGTTTTATCCAGTTTAAAATAAACACCTGATTTTAATTATATATCTTAAAAATATCAGATAAGATCACAATAATTAGGCGATTATTATTCCATATAAATCTCTACATTATAATCTGTTTATAACATATCGAAATTAAAGGCGAATCTTATATTTCCCGATATATATGTGAGTAAAATAAGGAAACAAGTGGTTATCTAAAAGATAAAAATAATGAAAATTAATGACAATAATTTATTTAAAATGGAAAATATAAACAACGGCATGAAATTAAATAGCTTTATATTTCTCCCTTCTACCTTCATTTCTGAATCTCATCATTCAAATTTAAGGTAATATTTATCTCTTGGAAATTAATTATTAGCAAAATTGTTATGAATTTTATGATCTTTTCTTTGTAATTATATTTATTTGTTGTTATGTTTACGCTGGTTTTTAAACATTTGAATGTTCATATAATGTGAAGAATTCATCTACATCTATAATTATCATAAAGGTTATATATTGTTTCAATTTTTTATGTAATGTATTATATTGATTAGATAATATTGGATTCAGAGAGACTAATTCTGGATTTAAATTTGATAGATTCAATCTCATTACTAAATCCAACGTAAGTTTTTTTGTTGATTATAGGTTTAGATATTAATATTTGTTGAAAATTTTTAGTGATTTTTTTTTATATATGTGGTTCGTGTAAATTTTTTTTTGGTTTGATCGAATTGGACTATGATGATCTTAATTTTGAACGATTCATATAGCCAAGCCCAACTTGTCTGATGGGATTGAGGCATTGTTATTGTAAATAGTGATGTAATGTAATCTGAGTAGTGAAATCAAGAATTTCGTTAAGGTTGTTTGAGCTTTGCTAAACAAGTGATTTTTGAGTTTTGACCTATATATCATATAATTTTCTGTTGAAGGATGTTTGACTGAACCTAGTATTTTTTATACGGAACGTAATGCCTATGTGACGGGTGCATCTTGGATCCTCCAAATACTATAATTTGTGTTGCTTGGACTCTTTGCGTCTTGGATCCTCCGAAATAGTTGTGTGCAACAACATTGTTGGAGAGTTCGAGCAACATAGCCTATAATTGAAAATGTGCAATGGATTCAATGGTGAAATCATCATACTGAAGTCGTCAACTTTAAATTCTGAATCTGCCCCTGATTGTCGTTGTTGTAATAATTTTGTATGACAAAATTTGAATTCTGAATCCGCCTCTGATTGTCATTGTTGTCATAGTAATTTTGTACGTCAAATTTTGAATTCTGAATCAGCCTCTGATTGTGTTATTGTTGTAGTAATTTTGTATGTCAAAATTTGAATTCTAAATCCACCTCTGATTGTCGTTGTTGTTGTAGTAATTTTCTACGTCAAATTTGATTTCTGATTCCGTCTCTGATTGTCGTTGTGGTTGTAATGTTGTAGTTGAAGCAATCAAGAAGTGTTAATGCAAACAAAATGGTAGAGGGAGGAATAAGCAAAGCAGATAAAACAGAGTTTACAGAGTGCTGGAGTGCAGTATGGAGAACTCCTTATATTATGAAGCTAGCTTTATCAGCTGGCATTGGAGGATTTCTATTTGGTTATGATACCGGAGTTATTTCTGGGGCGCTTCTCTACATAAGGGAAGATTTCAAAGACGTTGATAGGAAGACGTGGCTACAAGAAACTATTGTTAGTATGGCTGTTGCTGGTGCAATTTTTGGTGCTGCTACTGGTGGTTGGCTCAATGATAAGTTCGGAAGGAAACTCTCTATTCTCATAGCTGATGTTCTCTTCTTTGCTGGTGCACTCGTTATGGCTATGGCACCAGCTCCTTGGGTGATCATCGTTGGAAGGATATTCGTTGGTTTAGGAGTTGGAATGGCATCAATGACAGCTCCGCTTTATATATCAGAAGCTTCTCCTCATAAGATCAGAGGTGCTCTTGTCAGCATGAACGGTTTACTCATTACTGGAGGACAATTCCTTTCTTATCTAATCAATCTTGCCTTCACTGATGTATAACTACTACGAACTTCATTTCATTGTCTTTTTCCTTCTTTTTGTATGAGACTAGACGTGCTAAATGCCATCGTGGATTTGATGAAATGAAGTCTATCTAAGAACCATAGTAACTCATGTTCGGCTTGTATCAGGTGAAAGGAACGTGGCGTTGGATGCTTGGCATTGCTGGACTTCCAGCAGTTGTTCAATTTGTACTCATGCTTGCCCTCCCTGAGTCTCCAAGATGGCTTTATAGAAAGGTACTCGATCAATGACCAATTGTATACATTAACGTACTTTTTACACTATCTGTGTAGTTTAACCTGTGATATTGCTTATATAGAACTTCAACCTCTTGCTAAATTATAGTGAGAAGTAAAGAAATCTTGGCAAAAAACTATGGACTAATGATGTTTGATTCGTATATATTAGGGTAAAGTGGATGAGTCGAGGGATATCATAGCTAAAATTTATCCAGCAGAGGAAGTAGAGAACGAAATGCTGGCAATGAAGAAGTCGGTTGAAGAAGAAAAGGAAATCGAAGGTTCCATTGGAAGTAGCACGTTTACTCAAATCAAGAAAGCATTTGGAAGCACAACATGTAGAAGAGCACTCTATGCTGGTATCTGTGTTCAAGTGGCTCAACAATTCGTCGGTATCAACACTGTCATGTACTACAGTCCAACTATCATGCAATTTGCTGGAATTGCATCAAATAAGACTGCTGTAGCATTATCACTTATCACCTCTGGTCTTAACGCGGTTGGATCCATAGTCAGTATGGCATTTGTCGATAGATATGGTAGGAGGAGACTCATGATCATCTCTATGGTGGGAATCATTTCGTGCCTTATTGTCTTGTCAGTCGTGTTCTTCCAAGCATCGGCTCATGCACCAGCAATCAGCAGTACTGAAACTGCTCATTTTGGCAACAATACTTGTACAGCCTATGCCAGTGCCCCGAATCCAGCCTCTTGGAATTGCATGAAGTGTTTGGCTAAAGAAGCTGAGTGTGGATTTTGTTCAAACACCAATCTGGTAAGTCACTAACAAACTCTATCTTTGAATCTATAACTCGTTTCAAGTACTTCCTCCGTCCCAGTTTATGTGATGAATGGACACAGAGTTTAAGAAAGAAAGAGAAACTTTTGAAACTTCAATATTATCATGATACATGTTTAGATCATTACTAAGATTCATATAACTAGAGCCTAAAGTGAGTGTATGACTCTCTCTATTGTCATCCTATGTTGCTCGGACTCTTCAAAAACCTACCATCTAGTGTGCGTGTGTCGAACCCTCCAAAAGCTATGGAGTTTTGGATAGGTGCGACATCATTTTGGAGAGTCTGAGCAACATAGGCACCACCTATACATACACGAAGAGGTGTACATATGAGAGGTACTTTCGTTCTACTTTACTATAGCTGTTTTAGATGTATCAGGTGCTCGTCTAGCTCTCTCTCCTCGTCTACTAACATAACTTACATCTGATTGATTTTGAATCTGTTTTTCAATGTGCAGTATGCTCCTGGAGCATGTATAGCAAAAACAGATGCATTAGCAGGAGCTTGCAAAGCAGAGAAACGCGTTTGGTACACAAAAGGTTGTCCAAGCAAGTTTGGGTTCTTAGCAGTTGTTTTCCTTGCATTATACATCATAGTATACTCCCCAGGTATGGGAACAGTTCCTTGGATTGTCAACTCTGAGATTTACCCTTTGAGATTCAGAGGAGTTGGTGGAGGCCTTGCAGCAGTTTCAAACTGGACTTCAAATCTAATTGTTAGTCTAACATTCTTGACGTTAACTGAACATCTTGGGTCCTCTGGCACCTTCCTCCTATTCGCGGGGTTTTCATTTCTTGGACTCATAGCCATCTTCTTCCTCGTTCCTGAAACCAAAGGGATGCAATTTGAGGAAGTCGAAAAATTGTTGCAGAAAGGATACTCTCCTTTTAGAAAGAACAGTAGTTCTACTAAAGAAATCTCTGATCACACAAAATGATATTCATAGTGTAGATCAAGATACCACCTTATTTATTTTATTTGCATTGCTCTTTTACATATGTCATTGTGTATCATACTCAATTCGATGATAATTGTTTGATCTTAAAGAGGATCTTTTATAGTTCCGCTCTGTGATCAAAGTGTAATAAATTAAAAGAGTTTGTTGCTTTTTGTGTCATTCCATTGAATTTGTACATTGATAAAATCTACCAAGATATTGGTTTTTGTCTATGAGTTCATCATAATTTGTAGCAATTGATATCCTTTTAGAACTTTATTATTGTTTTACTAATTTGGTAAACTTTACACGAAATAATCCAAGTTTTTTAAAAAAGTACTTTTATATTAGGAAAATAGCACTAAAATGCATTTTTAATTAGATGCCGGCACCATATCCCGTTGAAACGTCCATTCTTTGGCTCATGTTATTCATTCGATTTACAAAATTACAAGGGTCGGAAGCTAGGGCGAAGATGAAGTGTGTTGGAGGACAGGGAAGACACAATTAAAAGGGTTAAAGTAGCTCCGGCTACATTACAAACAACCACAAGTAATTTGAACCATGGGATTTCATTAACAAGAAAAAACATGAAAAGGGAAAGAAATGCAGGATATTTTTCAGAGATTAATCTTCTTTCTATCCAAAATAACCAAATGGTGTTTAACAACTATACTCCAGATGTAGGTAAGTGAGCGACAAGCGAGAGCAGAGTCTAATTGATGATCTAAGCCTGAAATTGAACCAGATAGAACACATTAGAATGAGAAGAGAGGCTGACATGATATCGGGATGGCAAGGGAAAGGGTTTGATTGTCAATAAACACATACCTTGTTCGATAGCCAATCAAGTCCCTCGTATAACCCTTCTCCAGAAGTGGCACATGTACTCTGGATATGCCTGAAGAGGAAGAAAGAGGAAGGATCAGATAATAGGCGTTCTTAGATAGTCAGAAGTCAGAACCAGACAGAACAAATGATGGTATCAGTGTAAATTACCAGTGCCGCTGTTGAAGAGAATGAAGAGAATGAAGTCCAAGCTTATCGGTGATTTCAGCCGCATTCATTGCGTTTGGAAGATCTTGTTTGTTTGCAAAAACAAGCAGCACAGCCTCTCTTAGTTCATCCTGCAGAGAAATGAAATGAGGATTCGAGACATCTATGATCTATCATAAAAGATTCCTAACTTCACTTTCTATACCTCATATAACAGCCCATGAAGCTCATCCCTTGCCTCAACAACACGGTCTCTGTCATTGCTGTCAACCACAAAGATGAGGCCTTGTGTGTTCTGGAAATAATGCCTCCATAGAGGTCGAATCTGCAAACAGATCACAAAGAAGTAAGCAGATCAGTATTACTTTTCAAGTTTCCAATTATCAAAATACTATGTATAAACTTTAACTTTGTGCCTCTTGAACAGAAAGAACAATTGAACTGTAGAATTGCCAATGTTAGCAGCAAAAGAACCAAAGAAGGTCCATATCTCCATTCAGAATGCAATGCTGGCCACATACTGATCATATTTTGGAGACTTAATCACGATTAGCCTAGGAAACCATGTGCCTAAAAGTAGCCTCTTATGCGCAAAACACCAAAAGGACTCCAAAACCTTCAAGAATGACACCACGTTCAGATAGTTTTATCCAGTAATTAACTAGTCTGCTCCACTAGATACAAATATCCACCTTGGCGCCAGTATTTAGAAGACACCACCTCAGTGTCCAAGATATAATCAGCTAGCAAACGTTTGCAACTCAATACCTCACCAGACTGGGGGATTAAGATAAAACTCTTGAAGATCATGGATCTGAACCATCCATTGACTGCAGGTGGTATATGAGCAGTGAATCATAATATACACTCTGCACTTGAGCTTGGCTCCAATTGCATATATGCCTTATGTGAAATCGAAGTAAGGATCAAACTCAAAAATAGCTCAACCACGAGCTAGTTTTTTACCCCAATTTTTTTTTCCCATTTGAAAACAAACACTAGCTTAAAAGTATCTGTGGCTAGAAAAGTTCCAGAAAACTTAATAACAATCCTATGATTTTTCAAAGTAGATAAATTAGGATTTGGTTCAAGATTATTCTAATGGTGATGTATCTCTTTCTGCTCTCTTCACCAACCTAGGATTGAAGCTCACAGAGCATGCAAAATATAATCACAAGGTAAACATTTTGAACATTAAATAAGCTCTCATATATATACACATAGATAGAAAGAGATATTTAGACCAAAAGACATTTATCTAGTTGTTGAAGCATAAATCACGAGAAAATTATACACTACTAATACAGGCTAGTCGAATAACCCCCAGTAACTAGAAATAAACCCAGAGAATCACAAGGTTTCAAATGAAAATATGAGTAAGAGGACATAAGAACTTCTTACCCTGTCCTGACCCCCAACATCCCACACAGTAAAGATGATGTTCTTGTATTCAACTGTTTCCACGTTGAAGCCTGTCAATAGAAAGATTAGATAGTTGAAAGAACCAGCTGCATAGCAAAAATTGACAACAACGGATTATAAGAGAAGGATCTGCTCCACAAGTACACGACACACATGACAAGCACTTGATGAAGACACATTGCCAAAGGCAAATATTGCAGCCATTAAAAGTTATTTAATCTCCAGAGATACCGTCCTGAATCTTAAAGATTACATTGTTCTCTTATCAACACATGTGTGGGTGCAAATGATTTGAAAGGATGTTGCAAGATTTTGAGGCATTTTCACCTAACAAGAAAAATAAGCCATCTTGCATGTTACTTTTTGGATTAGATATATCAACACAATTTACTTTCGGTAGTATATCCCACAATGAGTAGAAAATTATGTTAGACTGTGAGGTGCAACTCGTGAGAAGAATAAAAATTAGGTTCACAAGAAATGTACCACTAGTACGTATAGCGGTAACAATTTCCCCCAACTTGAGCTTGTAGAGAATTGTGGTTTTACCAGCATCATCGAGACCAATCATAAGAATACGCATTTCTTTCTTAGCAAAGAGGCAACTAATAAGTTTGGTGAAACACAGCCCCATCTCTGTGTAACTGAAAAATGGACGAGATCATTTATAAAGATCAGAGAATCAATATAAAATTTTCACTGATTCCGGTCACTTTGACTATGGTAATGCAATTAATTACAAAAAGAATAACTAGCATCTTGCAGAAAGAGAAGGAAAATCTTTTGTTGCATGTAGCTCTGAAGTACTTTGTATCTTGCAGTACATTTATGCAGAATGGGTCTTTAATTAGGTAATTTCATACAGTATTTACGCCATATGTCTATAAAGTCAAATACTGCTAGTAAGAAAAAACAAAATTTTTAATAGATTATGTTCGATTCAACAATGAAGCATTATGAATTGACTCTGTTACTTGTTCTGAATTTATGTTGCTTCATTATTGCTTTATCTGCAGCCATTGTTGAGGAGTTATTCCAAATAATTCTAGGTGTGGTTCCAACAATACTCTGCATCTTTCCACCTTGTTCTCTCTGATACTTTTTTTTTTTTTTAAATTGGTAATGTTAAATATAAAACTTGTTCTCTCTGATACTTACAAGCTAACATACAACCCAGGCCAGAAAGCCTTTTCCCCATCCTTGTTAGTTATTCCTCAACAGTTATTTCACTTTGTTGCTAATGATACCACCAACACTCATTTTCCACAATTTCAATTTGCAATGGACATTGCAAAAAGTACAACTTTAAACACAATAAGTGAATTATTCCAATAACCTCACAGCAAAAAGCTGCATCAGTTCTCTTGACAACTCTATAATGAAAAATACCATTTTATATGAAATCCCCTGAGTACATGAGATCGACACAGGAATAGTTTATTTCTAGTGCAAAAAAATGATACAACACCTTTCATAGAAATTCAGATGACCCGATTATGTTCTCATATCCCTTTCAATCACCACAGGAACTATCAAGCACTATTTAGGAAATGATATTCCTCAAAACCAATAACAGTATTTAGCCAGGAAATGACAATCTTAAAATTTCAAACTTCAGTAACCACACTGTACGTACAGCATTGGCCGTGTAAGCATCCTGTAACTCTCAATTTCTAAAATTGTTAAAAATAGCATTTGTCAAATATGCGAGAAGTAGAGGCAGATCCATCGTTTTGTGACAGGAAATCTGGATGTCACAATGCTCACTAACCCTTTATGATCATTGATGCAGATTTAATAAGATATACTTTCAAAAGTACTCACACGCGAATATGTACATATTTTTATTTTTTTTTGAAACTGGTAAGGTTGTATTCTTCAACATTAAGGGCATGCTGGCCACCACCAAAAAGTGTCAATTACAAACTTCCTATCAAATCTACAATTTGATCTGTATCTACTATACACAACTGTTTACACCAAAAAAGTAGAGATACTATACAATTCCATTTGACCTTGTACATATTTCTTACGCAATCAATGCGCATGCCCGCCCATTATCACGACCGAAGATACTTCAGCTATTGGTTAAAAGTATAATAACTATTTCAAGTTTTTAACCCCTTGCTAGCGAAAGCAAGGGGTTTGCCTTCTGGGTCGAGCTCGTCGCACCGGGCATGCCTAGTGTGGGTTACCTCTCCTATGTGGTTTGCGAGCTATTGCATAGGAGCAGGGGTTTTACCCTGTGCGCACCCAAAGGGTAAAAAAAAATATAATAACTATAGCAAGATGATCAAATACAGATACATGAAAGAAAAGCACGAAAAAATCCATACGAAAACCACAAACTTAGAATTAAAAATAATAATCGGAAAACACGTACTAGTAACCTTTTTCCTAAACAATCAAATTCCAAATCAACCTCTAACTAACTTCATACTTGGAAATCACATAGCTCCTTTTTGCTTCTTCTCTTTACCCTCACTCAAACTCTAATTGCTAAATAAAAAAACATTCAACACTTCCATTGCTTACATCTGCATCTATGCTTTATTTTAGTTTATTGATAACCACGGTATCCAGGCCAGCTTGTGGTGCACCAATTCCACAGTATACCTATCAACTACAGATACCGGCTAACTCTGTCCACCAATGCACGTTTGACTTTTGATCCACCTCATTTTTTTTTTCGAAGTTGGAGGATCAATTAGTGAGACAAAAAAAATTTCTAAGAGCATCGGAATAACATCTAGAAATCAACAAATTACGAACTATAAGGCAAATCGATCTTCATGAAGATGAATGTCAAACTAGTTCCTTTGAGAGAGAAAAAACATTCGTAAGGGAAGAGACGACGACGGCTAACCGGAGATCGGCGACCGGCGATCGGAGAATTCAAATAGGTAGATCTCGAAATGGAGCTGTCGTTCACCGCGCTTTCCTCTGCTGTGGCACGGAAAAAGAGAAATTAAGCTGAGTCGTCGTTTTAATAAAAACAAATAAGTACATTTTATATATTAAAATCTATAATAAAGTCTTAATATTGTTATTTTATTATTAGCTTGTCCTAATCACCACGTTCAATAATTACTTCTACTAGCAATCATTTACGATGGGAGATAATTTGGCACCATCAATAATATTTAGTAAAATATAGGCTATATATTACTTTCAGCGATATATATTATTATTATCTCGATGAGTGATAAGAAAAGACAAATCATATACGACTCAATATAAATAATATCAAATCTAACTTTTTGATATGTCAAATAAGGTCATGACCTTATTCGTGGAATACTTGAGCAGTTCATATTATGAAAAACCTAGAACCATACATTAGCCCATTTAATCTATGAAATCATAAAACCACAAATTAGATAATGACCCATCGAAATAAATATGAAGATATAATTATTCTCAATGAATCTGACATCCTCCCCAATTATCACGTAGCTTAATGCAAAGTAAATATAATGTGTGAATTTAAATTATTTTGATGACAAAGTTCACACAAAAGCCTATAAATATATCTATTTTTCCATTATTATCATGTCTAATAAGTTGACATTAGCAAATTTAATTATTTTATCATCCCAATCTACATATTCTTGATCCATATTAACAAATTCAATTGTACTGATTTCAAGATAGATACTTATATTTTTCTTTCAATTTTGTAGATTAAAAATGAATCCCAAAGAAAAAATATTAAATATAAAATATTAAACAATGAAATGTGTTTTTTTTAAAATCTACAATCCCATAAAATTAGAATGCAAATAAAATTCAACAAAATACGTAACATGTCTTTTAACTTGAACTTAGTTAATATATACGCCTTCCAATATTGAGTGTACGTAAATAAACATTTAAGTTATTATAAAATTAAACAAATAGATACACATCCTACATGTCGAATCTCATGAAGAATGTCTCTGTCTACTTGTTTAACTTTATTACAATTCAAATGTCTATTTATATGCACTCAAAATTAAAGAACGTAAATATCAACTCAGATCAATTAAAAGGCACGTTCATGTATTATGGTAGTTTCATCTCATTTATTTTATTCTCTTTTAATTCAATAAGCACTAGATGGTTCTAAAAGAACCCGGAAACGGTGTCGTTTCATTTCCTTTTTCCCCTTTTCCTCTTCAACATATATAAGAAGTGTCGCTGTGTGGAAAGGTACATACAAAACTTTCGTGCACCTCTTTCGTGTTGTGCACTGCTGCATCTCCCACCACCCACCCACTTCCTCTACCCCCTACCCCACGCCTTAATACCCACCTCCTCTCTCTTGCTCTCGCGTATTCCAATTTTTTTGTGTTTTGCAAAAGTCCGCCATTTTTCTCTTTCTAGGGTTAGGGTTTTTCTTTTAACCATGTTTTGTTTTTTGAAAAGTTTGGAGATTGTAGAATGGTAAAGAGATTCCTTTTTTCTGTTCAGGAGTTAATTGTCATCGTTCAGCTCTGCAGGTCAACTATGTGCTGAATCTCCTCTGGAATTGGTAATTTTTTTTATGTTTGAATGACTTTATTGTTCTTAAGTATTTGATGGGTATGTTTATTTTTGCTTTTTTGGTATAAAGTTTGGATTTTTATTGAAGTAGCATCTTTTAGGACTTTATTGTCTGCAAGTGATTGGTATGTTTTTTTGGTATAAAGTTAGGATTTTTATTGAATTAGCATAGAGGTTGTTTGATGGGTATAAAGAAATTGTCTTGGTAACAACCACTGAACCAATAGAACAAGGGTTAGCTACGTAGCAGGTCAGGTCTTAGTCGGAGTGTAGTCAACCTGAAACTAGTTTATGATTGAAGCTTGGTAGTTGTATTTTAGACAGAATAATTGTAATTTTTTGTGTGTTTAGGGTTGCGGCATGTGTTGTTGTTCCTGCTTTTTGCTAATGATATCTTTTTCATCTGTTTTGAGCTGAGTGTCTATCGGGAATAGCATCAATTCCTTCTCAAGGTAGGGTTAAGGTCTACCTACACACCAGCCTTCTTGTACCCCACTTGTGGGACTACAGCAGGTTGTTGTTGTGTGTTTATTGTGCTGAGTATAATTGACTTCTAGTTTAGGATTGCAGTGTGGTAGTTGTATTTTAGACAAAATAGTTGTCTTTTTTGTGTGTGTTTAGAGGAATGAGGCATGTGTTGTTGATCCTGCTTGTTGCTAATTGATGTTAATTTCATCTGTTTTGAGCCGAGGGTCTATTAGAAATGGCCTCTCTACCTTCTCAAGGTAGGGGTAAGGTATGCATATACACCACCCTCCCAAGACTCCACTTTTGGGATTACATTGGGTTTTGTTGCCGTTGTGTATTTAATGTGCTGAATATAATTGACTTTTAGTTTAGGAGTGCAGTGTGGTAGATGTATTTTAGACAGAAGAATTTGAATAAAATGTATTATAATATACTCTTTAACACATTTGTTAGCATTTTTATGTCTTTTAAAATTTAGGTGTTTGCAAGTAGACATTTAAGCTATCACACGTGTCTTTCATGACAAATCTCATGTGATTTAACATGTAAACCATATGTGTCTACTCAATTACGATCAAGTTAAAAAATACATTTATGTATTGTATTTATAAAAGTTTGTTGAAAAATGTTCTATTGTGTCATTAAGCCCATTAGGTGGTTCCATCTCATTTATTTTTTCTCTTTTTCTTCCCCTTTTCAAAATTTGAATTCATTAGACTCTAGATGGTTCCAAAGAACCCGGAACGCCATCGTTTCATTTCCTTTTCCCCCTTTTCCTCTTCAACATATAAGTGTCGCTGTGTGGAAAGGTACATCCAAAACTTTCGTGCACCTCTTTCATGTTGTGCACAGCTGCATCTCCCACCACCCGCCCTTAATATTCCGCTCCCCTCTCTTGCTCTCGCGTGTTCCAATTTTTCCGTGTTATGCAAAAGTAGGCCATTTTTCTTTGGTTCTTCTCTTTCTAGGGTTAGGGTTTTTCTTTAACCATGTTTTGTTTTTGAAATTGAAAACTTTAGAGAATGTAGAATGGTAAAAAAATTCTTTTTTTCTGTTCAGGAGTTGTTCAGTTCAAATGTCATCGTTCAGTTCTGCAGATCAGCCACGTGCTGAATCTCCTCTGGAATTGGTAATTTTTTAATGTTAAATCTTTGTTTTAGGATTTTATTGTTTGTAAGTATGTGATGGGTGTGTTTTTTTGGTATAAAGTTTGGATTTTTATTGAATTAGCATGTAGAGGTGCTTTGATTGGGTATAAAGAAATCGTCTTGGTAGCAACTAGCAAATCAAGAGAACAAGGGCTAGCTCTGCAGCAGGTCTTTAGTCGGATCGTAGTGGACCCGAACTAGTTTGGGATTGAGGGGTGTTGTAGTTGTATTTTAGACAGAGTAATTGTCTTTTTTGTGTGTTTGGGGTTGAGACGTGTGTTGTTGTTCTTGCTTGTTGCTAATTGATGTCTTCTTCATCTGTTTTGAGCTGAGGGTCTATGAGAAACTTCCTCTATACCTCTCAAGGTATGGGTAAGGTATGGGTACACACCACCCTCCCAAGACTCCATGTGTTTGTTGTTGTTGTGTGTTTAGTGTGCTGAATATATTGACTTCTAGTTTAGGATTGCAGTGTGGTAGTTGTATTTTAGACAGAATGATTTGCTTTTTTGTGTGTTGTTTTTACTGCTTGTTGCTAATTGATGTCTTTTTCATCTGGCATTGAGCTGAGGATGAATCTGAAACAGCCTCTATATCTTTTCAAGGTAGGGGTAAGGTACACTTACACACCACCCTCCCTACACTCCACTTGTGGGATAACACTGGGTTTTGTTGTTGTTGTTGTGTGTTAATGTGCTGAATATAATTGACTTCTAGTTTAGGATTGCAGTGTGGTAGTTGTTGTGTGTTTATTGTGCTGAATATAATTGACTTCTAGTTTAGGATTGCAGTGTGGTAGCTGTATTTAGATAGAATAATTTGTCTTTTTTCTGTGTTTGGGATTGAGGCGTGTGTAGTTGTTCCTGCTTGTTGCTAATTGACATCTGTTTCATCTGTTTTGAGCTGAGGGTCTATCAGTAAGAAATGGCCTCTCTACCTTCTCAAGGTAGGGATAAGGTATTTTTACACACCACCCTACCAAGACTCCATTGTGGGATTGCACCGTGTTTTTTGTTGTTGTATGTTTTATGTGCTGAATATTGTTGACTTCTAGTTTAGGATTGCGGTGTGGTAGTTGTATTTAATACAGAGCATGTTGAGTTTTATCTTCTTTTGTTTAGTGAGTTAAAACGTTGTTTATCCGCTATGGTTTGGTTGTGCTTCTTTTTGTAATACTAATTTGCTATGCGATCGTGCCATTTCAGCTTTATGGTTTCACTTCTCCTGCTTATGTGAAATTCAGAGTGCTTCTTATGTGAGCTTTACAAAATATTCTCGGTGCAAACCCAAATATAGGAGCAAGATTTTGGTAGGTTGACAGCCTGGCTAAAATTGTCTAACTAGTATGAGGATTTGCACTGTCATAAACAACCTCTCTATCTCTACGAGGTAGGGGTAAGGTCTGCGTACACTCTACCCTCCTCCCTAGACTCCACTCATAGGATTACACCGGGTATGTTGTTGTTGTACGTTAGCTAGCTTATGATTTGAGATGTAGTTGCTTGATTGATTGCACATGACAAAAGATGTTTCTAGTTATAACTTGGATATTATATTAATTATTTGTAGTAGTATGTTTTTCTAGTGTACATGTCCTTGTGTGATTTGAGTTGTGGCTGAAATGGAGACTGATGTTGCAGATTTATGATCGTATATGGGAGTTGAGATTAGCTAGTTGGATGCATTAGAGGTTGGATTAAGAGTTTGGTCAAACTTGTAGTATGACTTTGCTGATGTAATTGATGGATGGTAGTGCATTTTAGATTCTTTGTTATTCCCTTTTGTGGGTCAGCCACTAGGTTTTGTTGGTTTCGAGCAGTTCTGACAAATTACTGCAT